GTTTGACAGCGACCGCAGTTCTTTCTTTAATTTTTTTTTGTGTTGACGACTTTCGCAATTCTCATATCTGAAAGCAACGTTAGCTGCATCATTTTCTTAAGAGCTTTTTTGTGCCACGATGCTGAATGGCTTGCTCTTGCTCTGTCGCTTTCGGTTTGTTACAATTTGATATGAATTTTTCATAAATCTGTTGTTGTTTCAGAAATGTTGCTACCTATGATATATCGTTCTGTATTACGCTATCTGACAGCGACTGATTTGTTGCGTCCAATTTGTGCACCGTCCAATTTCGTCCGTTTGAGAGCACTCTCTGCTCGAGCCACCAGCGATGCACCGTAAGAGTAATCCTCATCACTTATGATTTCAGCGCATTTCTGCGAGGAGGGGGCATTTTTTTTATTTTCGTAGCTTCATTACTTCCGGTTCACAAATCTAGCTCTGGTAAGAACCTGTGAACTGTTATGAAGCTGGGGGCACTTGAGCCACCATCGTAAACGGTCTTTGTATGGTACATTTTCTTGTTTTAGCAAGATTCAGTACCCTTTACCAGGAATCGGCAGATGGTCTTGACAAACTTTGGCTGGTATAATTTCGTGACTTTACAAGATTTCGCAGAATTTTTTTTGATGACTCGACGTCACTGGGGATCGCAGTAATGCAAAATGCACCCCCTCCCTCACTGCGGTCACCGAATGGCGCAGAGATTTCAATTTCTATGGAAGGCGCCTTGAGATAGTGTGACGAGACATATATCTGACATTTAGACCTACGGAAGCAGCAGATGATGAAGAGCAAACTACTGACGGAGAGATCGATTACGAAGATCAGTTGAAGGCGCTGATGCCATCCGAAAGAGTGTGGTCTGCTGCACCATTCAAGCATCACAAGAAGCTCAAAGAAGTTATCAAGGAATTGGAGGTTCGTTTTACTGTAATGATATGAAATCAGGGAATGTGAACCTGATGTATCGCCTGAAATCGGTAGGTTATAATTGTACACATTGTTTACGTTAGTGTACGCATCCCCTTCATCGGGCATCTGTCGAGCGAAATCCATTAGGGATCGCGCCATTTCACCCACTCAGTGCAGTGCCCTGCTCCTTGCCCCTTGGTAACTATTAGGAAAGAAAAACTGTTACCCGGGTCCCTCTTACGTTTTTCCCCATCATTCTCATGCTGCTTGGGGCCCAAAAGAAAAAAATGTTGAGATCCTGCTAATACCGAATACGGATTTTGGTTTCAATCATCAGTTTCGCTAGCTGGTTAATTTTTAATATTGGATAGGTCCAGGGAGAATTCTAATCTTTCTATCCAAGAAAGTAAATCCTAGTATGGGAGCCTGA